TCAAGAGACCTGGGACCTAACTGGAGCTCTGTAGAAACCTCTTGCTTTGTGATTTATTTTTTTTTTTACTATATAGTAAAAAATTCACCCTCAAAGACAGATAAAAGGCAGGCTTTCTCAGTACAGACCTAAATCTTTTTAGCCAATGGATTTTACTGTCCAGTTAACTTTCACCTAGCAAAGCAGATTTTTCTGCTGTTTAATTCTTAAGCTTTTCAGAACAACATGATGTCAACTAAGTCTAACAGCCAAAACGGCTTCAATAAAATTCTCAGAATAACACATCTACTCTGGCACACCAACACACTATTTTTAATTGCAGCTCATTAAAAATGTAATAGAAGAAGAATTATATTCACTTCCACCACTGTTCCGTCAATGCAGTGAGATAATCATGCTGCTGTATTGTACATAGAGCAATATTTATGCATAGTGGTTTAGGTAATCTAATGGAAAGGCAGAAAGCAGTGATTCACTCCATGTTCTATCTGTTGCTGCAAGACAGCTTTTGCCTATCGCACGGCCCAAGCAGGCAGTGATTGGTTTCAAATGTTAGTAAAACAGAGACCTGGAAAATGAAAAAAGACAAGTGACTTGAAATGCCTAACACACAAAAAAAATAAAAATCTGGATTGCAGATGAGAAGTACTTTACAGAGCAGTGTACAAATGCAGGCTCTGAGGTAATTTAAACCAAATGCAGACTTGAAACTGAAGTTGTTCAGTGAGTCAGCACAGTAAAAAGACACTAAAATTACATGTGAGAAAAGTGCGATCCTTTTTGTATAATTCACTGTAGTTTATTCCAAATTTACCAGAAAACAAATTAATTGCCTCCTTTGTGTTGCCCCTCCTTCATCTCCTTTTGGACTCGACCTCTACCTTCCAGAAACAAACTGCATGCAGGCTGACTAGCTGTGAACTCTGATGTCTAGGACTTCATTTCCCTTCCACAAAAATTTCATCTCCAGACCATGACAACGTTAATAAACAATCGCTGGCATGAACACTACTGATCATCTTCCAAGTTACGATTACTTTCCTCTGGAAATAAAATATGTTAAAAAAAAAATTAATAGTTAAAACCAAAACTGCAGAGAATCATTATAGGCTCTGACAATGGCAAGTGCCTCCCAGATTCTGCCATCTCAGAGGTTTCAGCCACCTACAGGTTTGTGCAGACTGGGACTTCAGCACTAAATACGCTTACCATCAGTCAAAGAAGGGCTTAGCCTCGTATCTGCCTCAAACATTTTTAAAACCATCGCCGTTTTTAAACTTACAAAGCAATTTTCATCTTCATTTTCATCTCATTCTTGCCTCATACTTTCACAAGAACGTAATTCTGTGAAAGCCACAACAATTGCTTGTTCAACAGAGACTGCCACTCTCTGAAGTGCTTTCTGAGATAGATTTGTACGGACAGACATGGGTAGAAATGAATAATCCAAAAATATCCACAATAGATAATGAGCAGAGTCTAGAAAAAAAAAAAAACCACACCACCACGTACTGCAAATGCAGCCCAAATTGGAACGAATGCCTACAGTAGCAACAGCACAGGAAGAGCAAAATGTTATTGTACATTACTGGCATGCAGCCCGTAATTACAAAAAATACTGCAGTATTCCCCAGTAACAGCGTAAAATATTATCATTTCAAACAAAGCAACTGCAGCACCCAGCACACAGCAACCACGGTGTAGAGAGCCAAGGGAGGAGAGGGTGGCCGGCTGCAGAAGGACTTCGTGCTGCAGAAGGCAGGTGGGCCATAGGGTCCATGAGCCCTCGGGACGGCTACTCCCCACATGCATGGCTCCCCCCAACAGGGGCAAAAAGGGCTGCTGCTGGGCAGCAAAAGGCTCCCACACGGGCTCCAGCTGCCAAGCCCTCTAGCAGAGGGGAACCACGCTGCTCGCTCTGCATTCGGGTTCTTGCCATAGCGTGCCTTCTGCCAAATTTGCATTTTCACAGTCTCTCGTACTCAACAAAATCTTCCCTGTTCCAGCCCCTCTGCGCTAACCCCTGTGTTACCCACCCACCCCCCCTCCCTCCCTTACACTCTGCCAACAGTTTTTAAGAGTGGACTAGCAAGAGGCTCCCAAGCATCCGTTGATACATGCTGCCCTTATGATGGCTATCATTCACCTTCCTAGATGGCAAGCAGTTTTCCACTACGTATCAGCAAAATGGGACACAGCATGTACACGAGTTTATTGGCAATGCTCTTCTCGACTGCTCTGCCCAAGGACCACCAGCACAGCGCACAGCCCCACCAGGGCAAACATAAAAACACAAAAAGTTACAGTTAAGTCCATCTGCTCACTGGCATGCACAGCACACAAATCAGTAGTCCTAGTTCACCGTTTGTAGAAACAACATCTATCACATTTATTTTCTACAGCGATCATGAAAAAAGACCAGCTTATGAACCACAAGTTTTCTTCAAACCTTATGCACTTGCAGAACCAGCAACCAGAGGAAAAGAAATGCAGAACCCTGAACAGCAAGGTTAGCGGAGAAGGAAACGCTGTTCAAATCAAAGATACTTACTTCTAACTCACGCTTCCTATACAAGCTGTGAACAGGACAGATTCTCCAGACAAAATTGCAAAGCCCCAGCTATCAATACCACCTCAGGTATCTGGCATCTCCCCACAGTTCAACAACTCTGAAGTTAAGTTTGAAATACACAACGTCAGGTGTTTGGGTAGTATCTTTTAAAGATGTTCAAATCATCATGAAAACTGCTTTTTGTACTGCTAAGTAGGAAGACTGTGTTTTTAGGTGGGAGCAAATAAATGCCATACCCAAGTACTTCCCAGTTCACCAGCACTTCTTGTCTTTCCCATACAAGCTTTTCTCTGCCAAACACAAAAGGGACTGTAATATATCTATATATGTGCAATATACATGCAACAAACTGCAGTAGATTAAAATACTGCTTTTTTTTTCCCTCATAAACCATTCACTCCCCACAGGGAGTGCTGCAAATCCACGTAAAGTCTCTGTGTGCTGGATCTGACACCCTGACGTATGCAACAGATGCATAAAATAACACATAACCAGATGCCTCTCTAGTAAATGCACAGCTAGAGACTGAAAACCCCTAAAAATGTTATGTCCAAGGGCAAAGGAGAAGGGGAAGAATAAAACCAGAGCCCCATATCTAGAAGGGAAAGTTTAGGCTTTATGAACTTCTTGCTTACAATGCCATAGTTTTTCATCTCTACAATTCAGCTATGGTATCACGAGAGAGGGCTTTTTAAGAGGTGGGGAGTCCAGCCACTGTGGCCTGGTTTGCTCCGTGCCAGGCTGATGAACTGTTTCTTGGTGTCTGTGAACCTTCAAGGTCCTACCTCCAAAGTCTCCACCACAACTCCAAAGACCTTCTTCCAGAATAGAGGTCAAACTCAGAAGAAAAACTCCTCTGGAAAAAAAGCATATGGCTGTTTGCTTAACAGGAGAGAGGCCCCTCCCCACTCCCTGAGCTGGTGTGTCCTGGCCACAGTGGCACGGAGAAAACGGCTGGTATGCTTTCACAGTAACTTTCTAATGCAGAGGAGAACAGAGGGTGAGAAAAAGGCAAGAACTTGTTTAAAAGCCTCAATTTAAAACTTCTGGCTACTCTCATTTTATGGAGTAAGTTAAAACCACTCTCTACTAGAAACTGCATGAACCACTGACTTCAGATCTGGATCCTGCCTTTTGCAAAGCTGCTGGTGGGCTTGGATCCAAGGCTTCGGTTCAAGCTCTTATCTACTCCATACTAAAATGACTTATACCATACGTCCTTTATAATAAATAGCCTCAGTGAGGAAGCACAGTATTGGCATGGCTCATATTTACATCACTCTTTTGAAAGCCAACGCACATGGTTTAAGGAAAGTGCTGGAAATACTACAGCTTTCGAATATATTGTCTTATGTGGTTTACAGCCAGCATAGTCAACGGCTGCATAAGCTTCACCCATTTTCACGTGACATGCTAAACAGTGCAAGTCCCAGGTAATGCCCACCAGCTCTGAGCAGAGCAGGCACAGCCACGTCCCACCACAACGGTGCCTGGGACTGTGCCACCACGCTCTCCCAGCTCCCTGCAGCAAAGGTCTCCATTCTCTGTCCCCACCACCTCCTCTTTACAAAGGCTCACACACACTTACAGAAACAAATGAACAATTCTATTATGTGCCTGGCAGCCCGTGCACTTTCTTTCTGATTCACAATAGAGGCGCCCCATTGAAAAGATCCATATACAAGGGGGGGAAAAAATAAAAAAATAAAAAAATCTAAGCGAGTCTCCAGCAAGCACACATATTATCAAAGCCTCATTTCCACTTAACACAAGTTGCTTTGGGAACTAATGCAGCTGACTTGAGGGGAAAACACAAACAAACAAACAACCTCTTTTTCCATTAGCTGGGGGAGAGGAAAGAAGGGGGAAAAAAAAAAAAAATCGAACTGGTGCCATCTTTGTTGAAGAGCTCCACAAAACTAATGGCTTAGGAGAGCTGAGGAGCATGGATGAGGGACAATTTGTGACTGATCACTGCCATCTGAACATGGCACGCTGACAGCTGAAAGAAGAGCAGAGAAAGGCAAAACAAAACAAGCATGTGTTTAATCCGGGCAGGCTCAGTCCCCCTTATTCACTCCCAGTGAAAAATAAAAGGCAGGAAAAAGTTGGTCCCTCTGCTTGCTCAGCTCAGCACCCATGTAACTCCCTGGCACACACCACAGGACTTTCCCTGGGCACGTAAAAGGGGGCATTATTTCATCACATGCTAAAAAAATAATCAAGAAAGGGCAGGAGTAGCAGTACAATTTAACACATCTTAAAATGCGTTTCTCGCCACCAAAGAACTTCCCTTTCTTCAATACTCTGCTAATGAGCTCCTGCACTCTCTGATACAAAGAAATCTCAACAAGATTCAACAATTTTGTGACTGCAACAGAGAGCTGATCAAATGATTGTGAAGGCCACAGAGATTGTATGAAGATACCTTCCTCTGAACTTCAACGTGTGCCTCCTCAGAGAGCAACAAGGCGGCAGCTGTGAAAGGAAAATCATGCACGTTATGCTGGTCTGACATCCATGAAAAAAAAAGATGGGAATAAAAGTATTTTGATTTATGCTCTGCAGAGCTGAGGAGGAATGCCTGCCACCAGGAGAGAGGGATGGAGAGAAAGCAAAGGTGGGCTGAGAGCAATCACATGTGGGTTGCTACGCTGCATTTCCCCCTCTTTTAATGGTTTGGCCAGGACTGTTACCCTACACCTGAAACAGGGCTCGCTCCAGAGGGCAAGGTATTTCCCCACCTGAACTGCAGGGATAGGGGGTGAGAGGGGAGGGTAAAAACCAGAGCCCCTAAAGGCCATACAGCTGGTTTCAAAAAGATTTGCATTAACAGTTCTCATTTCACAACTGCAAAAATCGCCTCAGACTCCTATTGAAAGAGACTCGTATTCCTGTTTGTGCTTACAGTTCCTAGTGCAAGATCTGCACGTAAAAAGCAGTTGCCTGCACTGATTTGCAAAAGTTTCAAACTTTTTGGATAAATCAGTACAAATGCCTACGGGACTATTACAATTTCCCAAGCAATGGCTCTTGTCCACTGACCAGAAAGGAAATATTTAGCTCCCTGCAGTGGGCCTGTTGATTTCAAAAGAAACTTAATAGCTCTATTTCTACAAAGCAAATACTGAGCAATCACCAGGGGCTGGCTATGCTCTCCTCTCTTCTGAAACCTGGTAAGTAACAAATGTCTGCAAATGCCACCAGCCAAAGGGTTTTGACATTCTACACATTTGTTGGATGGTATCCCTTGCTTCTTCCACATTATGTGGGTCTTTTTGATACTGCAGGTTTCTTACAGTAATTTTGCCTCCTTCAGCACATTTGTGGGGCAGAACAGAGTAAATAATTTGAAATGTTTATTTAAGAAAGAGGCTGGTGTTTTTTAATTTTAATTCATGTAGCATTTTCAGTGATTGAAAGTTTTAAAACTGTAACTGTAATCTCTTTACTAAACAAAAAAAAGACTCAGAGGTCATTCTTCGCTAAAGAGAAATGAAAACAAAATAAATGAAGACTGGAGGGAAAAGGTAAGCTCTTCCCTGCGACTCATGACTGCCTTTATTAAAAAAAAAAAAACTTATTAATTCAGGACAACACAACTCAGCCTCAGTCAGCAAACTCTTAGTTCAGCTGCTATTCAAATCTCCAAGAGCAATTTGCAACTCTAGTTATGAAAGGGGACATTATTTTCTTTATACTTTTAACTCTAGTTGTTCAAAGACACACTGCTGAAGCAATTAAGGCAGACGTATTATTAAACCTGGTGTAGAATTTACAGGCTGTGTACAGAAGTTTGGTATTTCAGTGAGGTGTTTAAACATAAAAATGAGAACTATGTATTTAATACAAAAATATCACTTAAGAATGCTGAAAATCAGATTACTCATGACATTATCACCAACAGTAAGAGAATTGTATATGCATTTTTCTGGCTGTGCGTTGTACGTTCTTCAATAGCTTTCTTCTGCAGAGTTCCCATATGATACAGATTCCAAACTTGGAAATATTTAGGCATATGCCTAACTTTCAAGGAGAATAGCCTCATTGATTTAAATAGGATTTAACCCTTATAAATATTAGAATGACTGCCTGTTTGTGGGATTGGACCTCATGGGGCCCATTTTCAAAAAGATAAATGCATTGCATATTTTTACTGCTGTTTCTATGTTTGCCATTAAAGTTCCTTCCCTCCCTCTCCCATCTGTTTTTATTGCCTTCGCTAGAAATATCATGACATTCTGAAGTAAATAATGATTAATTTAATTACAAACTAACTGTAACTTATGACAAGACCCTCTAATCACTTACCTCAAATCATATGAGTGTTTCAAGATGCAATTTTAAATCTCCTTTTTTTCCCCTCTCTCACAGGAGATGTTGCAGCCTTTTTTTTCTGATGTTTTGCATTAAAACTCTTTTCCTGTGCTCCAGGATCTTAAACAAAAACAAAACAAGAAACACTCAGAATGAAAGTGTCATTTCAAGCGATTGGTGGGTGGCTCAGGGGAAATCCCTGACCTTTCTCCAATGTATATTTCGTTATCTAAAGCAAGTGTGATAACCCCCCTCAGCAGAAGCAGCATCAATGCTCTCCTGTGGGCTGTACTTTTAAAAAAACAAAGCAAAAAACCACCACCACCACCACCCCACACACACACACCAAACCCCCACTATTTCAGACTACTCAAAAACATGTTATTTTTAAAAACTGCAAGATAGTACACTACAAAGTATACTTTTAAAGCACAATCCAGTATATACCAGACTCCACAAATTTATGAAGGTGAGAAGGGAAGAAAGCCCAAAGATACAAATCAGAAGAAAAATCATTATGTAAAGTATAAAGCTGTTACACTGGAGAGCAATCATCAGTTTTATTATTATGACTATCACTGTTATTACCGCTAATAATACGTGTATGGCCAACTCCCTAAATCTTCACTGAGTTACTGTAGTATTTCTGTAGTAGCGGCGTGGGGGAAGTAGTAGCCGTGCTGGAGAAGCGCTGCAGCATTAGCACTACAAAACCCAGCCCCGGCTGACGAGAGAGAGGAAGGAAGGGAGGAGGAGCGACGAAGCAAATGAGTAAGAGAAACTGGCAGGTCTCTAATACAATCAATTTTGACATTCTCCACCATCGCCAAAAAAGGTCTGAAGGGTTTCGGATTTTCAGTGAGTGCTGTTACCAGAACACTCTCTCACCGCCCCCCGTTTTCACCCTCCTCCCTTCTCCCGTACCTGCAGCAAGGCAGGCCAGGAGCCGGCTGGGTACGTAAGCCTCCAAACCAGGCTCTGTCAGCAGGAAAATCCCCTGGCTGGGAGAAGCAAACGCTGCCAGCCAGTGCAGAGTTCACTTTCCCTCTGAGAGCACGCTCTTGCATTCGCATGGCCCCTCCGGGTTATAGACATCCCAGTTATTTCTCTACAAGCAATTTTTAGGACCGACGACTATATTCGTTCTGGCTCTATAAAAAGCCTGAAAGACAAACCATTCCCTGGGCTACACCTGTGGCTACGCCCATTGAAGCTAACAAACTCTCACAACTCGGCAAAGAGGAGGAGGATTTGACCTTGTGTGCATGGAAGCCAGGCTGCTTTGGTTTTCTTCCACAGCTAGGACAGATGGACAGCTCTGAATAATATTTTCCATTGCTTTTAATTATGAAACAGAACCTTCTGTGGCTGTACGTACTTCAGAAAATACAAATTTTCCAAAAGCGGCCAGAAATTTTAAAAGTACAGCTTTCTACATGGCATTTATTCCCGCACCCCCTCCCCCCAGAGAAAACAACCCAAAATTCAGAGCAAAGACCGACACGGAAATCAGGGGGGAAAGTGGGCTTCCCTTGACACCTGCACAGTGGCTGAGCCTACGTCACCACTCCCCAAAACTGCTTAGGGTACAAACAAATCCAAAATACACCATTTAAATTACCCTGCTCCCCCACTCCTCCGTGCTTGTTCTTGCTTACGTGGTGCTGCTGCTTGCTTCAAGGAGCCTGCTCTCACTCAACGCGAGTAAAAGGTTGCAACAGCCAAGCCTACAGACTTGCAGGAAGAGGACACAGCCCTCTAAAGCTGTGACACAAACCCAGAGAAGGCTGGAAGTTCAAAGTGAAATGAGGACACTCTGTCCATGACTCATGCCACCTAGAAACCATTCTTAATTTAAGAAAAAAGTGTTAAAGGGATTATTTTACGGAGTGTCACTCTGCTGAATCAACTAGGTTCTGCCTCTCGTTTTTTCCCCCGACTCAAATACAAGGTGGCCGGGGACTCTATTTTAAGATCAAAATCAGCATAAAATCCTCCTGTTCTCACTTACACAGTTACATTTTTAATGCTCTGTTTAAAGAGACAAATAATGTCTGAGGGACAGACTTCCAGCTATCCCCCAGGCTTTTTGCATGACCTATGGGCAAATGCTATGTAACACTTCCTGAAGGGCTGAAATAGCTCTGAATGACACTTGAGCTCCTACAGTGCAACTAAAGTATAAGAGTTTGGCTTCTAATGCACATTGTCACTTAACCCCAATTTTCCCGTGCCTCAGTTTCCCCTTCCTCTACAGCAAAGATAACAGTATTTCCCCATCTCAAAGGGCTGATGTGAGGAACGCAACACCCGCTGATTTAGTGGATAATCTGGCAATGTGGACACACGAGGCTGAAACTTCACGTCCACAGAAAAAGACCCTGTAAACCAAAATGAGGAGTGAGTCATCAGCCTGTCCCTTTGAAACCGTTTCGCTGGATAGTCATTTCACTAGTACAACTCTCTTCTCCTGGGTGCTCCCAGCAAGCGTGGGGGAGACTGAATGGATTCACTGTAGTCACACAACAGCTTTACAGCTGCTGAAAAAAGGCCTATTGTAGCCCTGCATTTTACTATCTTGAGTAGCATACATTAATTTGCTGTACAGCTTCCATTACCCATCTGATCCTTACAGAAACAGGAGCAGCAAATCAGGGCTTGTCTAATGAAAAGAGATTTAACTTTGATGAGGGACATTTTCTTGTTTTCTAAAACAAACAAACAAACAAAAAGGTAACAATTTACACAGCAGAGGATAAACCACTAAAAATTAAATGTAACAAAAACACTTTAAACTGTTTCTACCCTCCTCTTTTTTCTTTTTTTTTCTTTTTTTTTCTTTTTTTTTCTTTTTTTTTCTTTTTTTTTCTTTTTTTTTCTTTTTTTTTCTTTTTTTTTCTTTTTTTTTCTTTTTTTTTCTTTTTTTTTTTTTTTATGGCTACATCATGTTACTGTGAGTCAAATTTCACAAGCAGAAAGCAGTGTATGGCAGGCTATACACACGTGCTCTTCCTGCAGTCACTGTCCACTCATAGCTTGCACCTCTGTGCATTTATGATATTTGCTCAGTAACCTGAATGGTATCAAAAACAACTGTGAACTCTTAATACAGAGCTATTCAGTTGCATGTACAAAGTCTCATTCAACAGTCAGATACGCTGGACTTTGCAAAAACACACGTGAGTAGATTTGACAGCCCATTTCTAAATGTCTTGATTTTTCTCTGTAGTGTCTGGGCTCAAGGCAGGGAGAAAGGAGAGTCCTAAATTCGGCACATTCCTTCCAGCATTCAACTACTCCATTCTCCCCCTTCTGGAGAAATGAATGCAGCTTCTGACAAATTCTAGGAGTATTTTGCCAGCTCTACCATCCTTCCCAGAGCAATAGATGAGATGGTGCTTGGCTTCTCTAGCTTCCAGCAGACCTAAATGAAGGCTCACTCTGAAGTAAAAATCCCCCTTCCTCCTCCCATACACATGGCATTAACCCTGCCAGCTGCAAAGCAGCTGAATTCAGCCAGAAACCCCTGAAAACAGCAGCAAGTCACACCTGCAGCATGCTGTAGTGCTAACCCCCAAGAATTAAATTATGGTCAATCAGCATACAACTCCTCAAAACACAGTAGTCCCTCAAAAACTACAAGACTGGACAAAAATCCAGAGGTTGTCTTCTCTGCCTTCTGTCTTCGGAGCCATAGGAATGCAACAGGTTTGCATTCAGCAGAAATATTTTGCTTTTTAACAAAAGTCGAGACAGACAATACCCCTTGCTTTGGCAGCCTGGGACCTTAAGAAAATCAAACATCCTGAGAGTAGCAGCCTGATAAAATGCCACCAGTGGGACTCCTCTTTCCCTCCCGGCTTTCCTTCATTTCACAGCAGTGCCTCTCCCAAAGGGCCAATGGAGCTGAACAGACTGAGCAGATTTTCCATTCTAGTCAGCTTGTATGTTTCATTGTTACCGTGATTTGACTCTGCCCAAAACCCATGAAAAACCACACCAGTAGAAACAAAGAATCAAGTAAAGAAAGAAATGAAACCCCAGAACAAACTACAGAGAAAAACTACTCTTGTATTTTTGGATTTGGGGCAGGCCTGCCCACCTCCAAGCCCAGGCAGCAGATGGGACCAGCCTCCCTCACCATCCCCAGGGCGAGCGGTTCTGGGGTGGGCCTGGACACAATCAGCATGGTACTACCACGTGTGGCAGGATGAAGCCAAGGTCGCAGAGTGCTAAAATGCAATTTCATCCTATGAAGGACAGAGAAATGGCGGCACTGGGCTCTCTGTGCACCTCCTGTCCTGGGCACAAGGGCTCTTTTCCTCAGTCTCACAGAACTGGGCCTGCTGCCCTCCCTTGCCTCTGCCGAGGATCTGGCAGGCACATACTCACACTTGGTATTTACTCTTTTTCTTGCCTCATAAGCACCAACACCATAAACTCCTCTCTAAACAGCCGGGAGAGACTTTATTGCATGATTTTTGGAGCCAGGTGGGAACATGGACCTGTTGGAGCAGGTCCAAAGGAGGGCTACAAAGATGATCAGGGGTCTGGAGCACCTCTCCCATGAAGACAGGCTGAGAGAGCTGGAGTTGGTGAGCCTGGAGAAAAGAAGGCTCCAGGGAGACCTTACAGCAGCTTCCCAGTACCTAAAGGGGGCTACAGGAAAGCTGAAGAGGGACTTGCATTTACAAGGGCATGCAGAGATAGAACGAGGGGTAACGGCTTCAAACTCAAAGAGAGTGGATTTAGATTAGATATTAGAAGAAATTTTTCACTATGAGGCTGGTGAGGCACCGGAACAGGTTGCCCAGAGAAGCTGTGGATGCCCATCCCTGGAGGTGTTAAAGGCCAGGCTGGATGGGGCCTTGTGCAACCTGGTCTGGTGGGAGGTGCCCCTGCCCATGGCAGGGAGGTTGGAATGAGGTGATCTTTAAGGTCCCTTCCAACCTAAGCCATTCTATGATTTTTGGAGCAAGGGCTGTTGACCCTCACTCACCACCTCGATGCGGCCTGTCAGTACAAGGTGACCAGGAGAGCCACGCTCTCCCACTTACCCAGAGGGGTGTGAGGTCTTCCCAAGTCATAATTACTTCAGTGATTCTTCTTCAGTACCTCCT